TCACTTTTGAAAATCTCACCTCAAATGTATCTTTAGGAGACTTATTTTTCCTATTGAATTTATGAAGTAAATATTAACTGTCGAATTAATTTTAAAATAGCATTCAAAACGATACTAACCACAAAAGTAAAAAATATTTTTTATGTTTTAAAATTTTATATTTTATTGTATAGATCATTTCACACAGGATTGTGTTCCGAAAGAATCATTGGGATCAGACTAAGGAACAATGGAGGGTCTGGCATAAGCTAAGTAGAACTAGCAGTATGAAATGGGATCCAAACACTCATGAATTTGGTCCGAGTGAAGAAAACTGGGCCCACTATTTACTGGTATGCATAGTGAAACTGTAACGAATGTAATTGAAGTGGAAAATCATAGGAAGGTCGCCCTTGATTGCCAGCTTGCTAGCAGGATAGTGGTTTTTTGTTACAAGGCAAACCCTGAAGCTGCACCATTTCGGTCAAAGGAACTCCTGTTCTTTAACAAACAGAATATCATCTATGCTGGAATAGTAGTTACCGGAGAAACAGAACTTCCTACAAGGCGTCGGAAGGATGATTATGGTTCGACCACCTCTCTCTTCCACCTAAAAGAGCTAGGAGGCTGGACTCCTAATAGAAGGACTGAGCATCAATACGATGCAGTTGAATCAAGGAGCACTATGACGGGGCCATATTCTTCGGCCAATTATATTATTGGGGAATGCATCAAGTGCTTGGATGAGATAAAAGAAATAGACCAAGGAGGTGACATCTGCTTATTTGCATTAGATATGTTCCTGAAGAACNCTATAACGGGCCCATATTCTTCGGCCAATTATATTATTGGGGAATGCATCAAGTGCTTGGATGAGATAAAAGAAATAGACCAAGGAGGTGAAGGAGGTGACATCTGCTTATTTGCATTAGACATGTTCCTGAAGAATGAATACCGAGAAATTTTCCTCGATCTAAAAATGCCTAGAGTAAGGATTGCATGGTTGCAATGGCTGCAATCAGTTGGTCCAACTTTGTCTTTGCATTAAGACGGTGGTTGTGCTCTGGACTACTACTTCCTTCTCTGTATAGCTAGGTATATTTGTTCTAATTTTTGAGTGGCTATTGGACTCTTATTCTTGAATTTAGAGAATTCTGTTCTTTAACTGTATTGCTAGAGGAAAATTACCATGTTGATTTGATTGCGTTGCTGTTATTATGAGTCCATGAACGGGTTTTTGACGCATGCATTCACCACATACAGCATACAGCCAGAGAAATCACTTCAGGTCATCAACCATCGCTGAAATTTTCTTTTTGCTATTGCCTGCTAGACCCTTGCATTTGATCAGGGCAATTTTTATTTCCCTTAGAATGAAGACTGCATGGGATAAGCCTAGTTAGAGTTTTTTTTTTTTTTTCGTCGAGATGCACATAAACTGGTCTAAACACCCTGACTGTTGAACTTGGTTGGAGTTTAAGTATGCACTCTATGAGCAAGAATGTGGCTAAGGCAGACCAACAAAGAAGAGTCCTGCTCAGGGGGAAACATTTGGTGTAGTTAGCTTGGTTAGCACACAAAATGGTTTCAAATACGATTCTCGCCAAGAACTTCAGTAAACATTTTGCATTCAGAATTCAAATCCTTCAATCAAATGGGGTATAATGCACTATTCCCAGAGAAGCTGATATACATGGAAACACCCAAAAAAGAATCAATATACATGGACTAGAAATCAATGATCTCACCCTTTTACTATTGTAACTTACCTGATCTCGATATTTTGTCCCACAAAATCTATTGTGGGAGATTTCTGCTTTCCATAGGGTGCCCTGTGTTGTAATAAATCGGGTTTGGAAACTTGAAAATGCGCTTTCCTAGATATGGGCCTGTTAAAGCATCCATCTGGCTGCTAATCACAGCCGTGATATGGAAACCTTCACTTTGCATCACACCTCTTCTTCTGGTAAAATATTCACAACTATCCATTGGCATTTCATCGTCTGATCTGCAACAATGCGAGCCATTTTGAATGTGTAGAGGCCACAAGGTTAATGGTTCAAAGGAAACCACAGTGGTCACAAGATTCATAGCCAGGAAGCACTACAGTCTTAGATGTGAGGTATACATAATTTCTCCAATGAACCAAAACAAAGAGCTTCCCTAAATGACATTCTTTCTCAGATCAGCAAACAAAGTTCAAAACCATCTCAGCATTCAGATGATGATATGTCCATAAATAACAAGATCAACATTATGAGATTTTACACAATAATCAAAATGCACACATGATCAGCACATTTAATAATTACGTTATGAAGGGTTAGACAAGATATGCTCATAGAAGCTATTCCAGGAAACCAATTCCGGTGCAAACAAAATGTGGATAATGAATTTATTGATATTTGTGTGTTGGGGTGTGGGTATGCATCAGAGACATGCACTCATGTCCTGATAACAAAGAGGACAGACACTTGTGGGCTCAATGATCAGTACAAGAACATCCAAAAAGTCGAGCATAAACTATGCATGGCAATTGAAATGCTTTTGGACTGAGCTTTGGCAGCTGATTCAGTAGCCTAATTTTCTGAATTGATTTCAAATCAAGCCACAGTAGTAGGTTCAGATATTGGGTGGAGATGATTTGAAAATTTAAAGCATGACGCATGGCCCACAAGGACTGCAAGACGTAATAGTAAGACAGGGGAAACAGTTTGCCAATGGTTAGGTAAGTAAGAGACACATGGCAATAAGTTCACGAATCCACATCCAAAGGAAATTAATGCAACAAAAGATAGAAAACCCAGATTTTAACATTTTCCTGAATATTTCCCTGCAGGATACTAACATTTCCATTCTGTTGCAATTATATGAATGCTATGGTCAGGTAAACGCCACAACGTTTAGCATCTTCTTACAGTTTAAATGGAGAGAAATTATCCTTTCGACACCCCATACTATGATGAAGCATCACATCAACAAAGAAATTGAAGAACTAACTAGACATATGAGTAGAAGCCTTACACATTTTAACAAACAATCCCATATCCCTACTGAGGAAACTCTTCCTTGATCTTCTTGATACCTTGTGATCATGGCAAATACAGAATTCATTAAAGTAATCAAAGAAGGGTTTGAATTAACATTACCTCATAATTAATGAAGACCAACCACTACATCCAGCTGAAATAAGTTGTTCTACGGTGGTATTCCGTAGTTTCTCAGGCTTCCTTGATAACAAAGCCAATGGCCATCCAGCAGCTCGAATTTTCATGTACAGTTCTACAAAGGACACACGTTTCAGATTTGTTGCCTCTTTACTACAATCTTTACATCCATACAGATTGAATCTGCGTGCAAAAGATACAGACAACTGTCTATTATATACAATAACTCGAAAAGAGAATGAAGCTATAGAACAAACTTTGAAAATTAGATATGAAATCCTTGACTAAAGCAGGATGCAGTATAATTTCTGAAAGAGTCAAGTGCCAGCATGCTGAGTCCATTCAAATTTGAGAGGGCTTAAGAAGCAAGAACGAAGTTTACAAGAAAGAACCTATTTTGACATGCAAACAAGACATGAAAACAAAACTTCTTTTTTGTTTCATGCAGATGGCAGGTAGATTGCTTAATAGAAACTCCTAGTTTCCTAAATGACCCAGAGTTATAATCAAGAAAAACGGCTTAATCCTGAGGAAATTACCTGGCCAACAGTCCATCATCAGTATAATAAAACTCTGAGAGAAATAAGTCATCTATGTCCATTAACACCACGTCTAGGCCATCATGTGATGGTTTTACAGTGCCTAAGTACCTCTCAGCAATCCCCACTGTGATATTCAAATCTCTCATGTATTGACCTTGTTTAATGTACTGTACAGCAACATCCTTGCAAATTGCAGGGAAAGAATCTATGTCCAAGCGATTGAGCTCCGCATGAAGAGCAAAAAGTTTGCAATAACTGTAATCATCACTAGATTTCCACACCTCGACAACACCGGCACTCCTACTTTCACAGGATTTTAGCATTACGAGCAATGTAATCAACAGAGTGATTAATGAAACCCCAACTGTCACCAGTGCAGCAATCAACATCATTGCAGCAAAAGATGGAATATAAATTCCCGATTCAAATGTAGAATGGCTTGCCATTTCTGCAGCAACTTAAAGAGTCACAAGATGGACAACTCATCAAAATAAAGCAAAGTACTTTTTAAGGTATTATACCCATCAAAGATAAAATATGATGTTTTCCAATAGATGACTCAGTAATATTGCAGAAGACATAATGAAAACAATAATGTACTGTGTTAGAATAATAATAAGTTTTCAAAACTTCTCATTAATTTTAAATTAACATTTTCAATTTTTTGAGTTTATTCCTTTGATTTAATTTTTCAGTTTTTGGGTACAAACATAAAGACCTATTTTTAATTCCCAGTCATTATTACCTTAATGGTTAGTTAAGGGTCTAGCTGTTACACATAAACATTTAAGATGGGTCATCAAATGATCTCTATATAAGCAAGCTTATAGAGGAGGTCTAAGGAAGAAAAAAAAATTAGGTTTTCATCTCTAAGTTCCGCTTAGTGCAAGAGTTTTTTCCTTCCGTCATATATGTTCTTATGTATTTTGGATTACCTTGAATTTTCGGACAACTTCGATTCGAGTTAAGTTTACCCTTTCCTTCCGGTGGGCGTGACCATTGAGGAGGTGTTGTTGCAAACGTTTGGATTTGATCTTAGAGTCGCTGGTGTCCGTTAGTACTTTCACGCGGGGAGAGTCAGCTGGTTTAGGACAATGTTCACACGACTTTCGGATTCGCAGGTCAGCTCTTTCTAATTTATAGTATCTATTTTATTCTATTCTAAATTAATTGATATTTTATATTTATTTGTGTATTCTTGTTAGTTTGTGATCTGAATATTATTTTGATAAATAAAATTATGTATAATTATGCTAATTTCCCCAACACTCCGTTCACATGATGTATGAATGGAGTTAAATAAGTTCTCATTATGGAATGTCAATCTAGTGACAATTCATCCCCAAAAAACATTAAAGGTGAAGATGGTAATGCATACCAGAACTTCCTCTGCTGGAAAGAGTCTGAGCGGAGTATTCCCGCTCAATTTGATGGCCATAGCCAGACATTGTAAGCAGTCTATCAGCCAAAAACACTTCAACAAGAACATCCCAAAGAATTTTCCNTTTTAAAATAGCATTCAAAACGATACTAACCACAAAAGTAAAAAATATTTTTTATGTTTTAAAATTTTATATTTTATTGTATTGATCATTTCACACAGGATTGTGTTACGAAAGAATCATTGGGATCAGACTAAGGAACAGTGGAGGGTCTGGCATAATCTAAGTAGAACTAGCAGTATGAAATGGGATCCAAACACTCATGAATTTGGTCCGAGTGAAGAAAACTGGGCCCACTATTTACAGGTATGCATAGTGAAACTGTAACGAATGTAATTGAAGCGGAAAATCATAGGAAGGTCGCCCTTGATTGCCAGCTTGCTAGCAGGATAATGGTTTTTTGTTACAAGGCAAACCCTGAAGCTGCACCATTTCGGTCAAAGGAACTCCTGTTCTTTAACAAACAGAATATCATCTATGCTGGAATAGTAGTTACCGGAGAAACAGAACTTCCTACAAGGCGTCGGAAGGATGATTATGGTTCGACCACCTCTCTCTTCCACCTAAAAGAGCTAGGAGGCTGGACTCCTAATAGAAGGACTGAGCATCAATACGATGTAGTTGAATCAAGGAGCACTATAACGGGCCCATATTCTTCGGCCAATTATATTATTGGGGAATGCATCAAGTGCTTGGATGAGATAAAAGAAATAGACCAAGGAGGTGAAGGAGGTGACATCTGCTTATTTGCATTAGACATGTTCCTGAAGAATGAATACCGAGAAATTTTCCTCGATCTAAAAATGCCTAGAGTAAGGATTGCATGGTTGCAATGGCTGCAATCAGTTGGTCCAACTTTGTCTTTGCATTAAGACGGTGGTTGTGATCTGGACTACTACTTCCTTCTCTGTATAGCTAGGTATATTTGTTCTAATTTTTGAGTGGCTATTGGACTCTTATTCTTGAAATTAGAGAATTCTGTTCTTTAACTGTATTGCTAGAGGAAAATTACCATGTTGATTTGATTGCGTTGCTGTTATTATGAGTCCATGAACGGGTTTTTGACGCATGCATTCACCACATACAGCATACAGCCAGAGAAATCACTTCAGGTCATCAACCATCGCTGAAATTTTCTTTTTGCTATTGCCTGCTAGACCCTTGCATTTGATCAGGGCAATTTTTATTTCCCTTAGAATGAAGACTGCATGGGATAAGCCTAGTTAGAGTTTTTTTTTTTTTTTCGTCGAGATGCACATAAGCTGGTCTAAACACCCTGACTGTTGAACTTGGTTGGAGTTTAAGTATGCACTCTATGAGCAAGAATGTGGCTAAGGCAGACCAACAAAGAAGAGTCCTGCTCAGGGGGAAACATTTGGTGTAGTTAGCTTGGTTAGCACACAAAATGGTTTCAAATACGATTCTCGCCAAGAACTTCAGTAAACATTTTGCATTCAGAATTCAAATCCTTCAATCAAATGGGGTATAATGCACTATTCCCAGAGAAGCTGATATACATGGAAACACCCAAAAAAGAATCAATATACATGGACTAGAAATCAATGATCTCACCCTTTTACTATTGTAACTTACCTGATCTCGATATTTTGTCCCACAAAATCTATTGTGGGAGATTTCTGCTTTCCATAGGGTGCCCTGTGTTGTAATAAATCGGGTTTGGAAACTTGAAAATGCGCTTTCCTAGATATGGGCCTGTTAAAGCATCCATCTGGCTGCTAATCACAGCCGTGATATGGAAACCTTCACTTTGCATCACACCTCTTCTTCTGGTAAAATATTCACAACTATCCATTGGCATTTCATCGTCTGATCTGCAACAATGCGAGCCATTTTGAATGTGTAGAGGCCACAAGGTTAATGGTTCAAAGGAAACCACAGTGGTCACAAGATTCATAGCCAGGAAGCACTACAGTCTTAGATGTGAGGTATACATAATTTCTCCAATGAACCAAAACAAAGAGCTTCCCTAAATGACATTCTTTCTCAGATCAGCAAACAAAGTTCAAAACCATCTCAGCATTCAGATGATGATATGTCCATAAATAACAAGATCAACATTATGAGATTTTACACAATAATCAAAATGCACACATGATCAGCACATTTAATAATTACGTTATGAAGGGTTAGACAAGATATGCTCATAGAAGCTATTCCAGGAAACCAATTCCGGTGCAAACAAAATGTGGATAATGAATTTATTGATATTTGTGTGTTGGGGTGTGGGTATGCATCAGAGACATGCACTCATGTCCTGATAACAAAGAGGACAGACACTTGTGGGCTCAATGATCAGTACAAGAACATCCAAAAAGTCGAGCATAAACTATGCATGGCAATTGAAATGCTTTTGGACTGAGCTTTGGCAGCTGATTCAGTAGCCTAATTTTCTGAATTGATTTCAAATCAAGCCACAGTAGTAGGTTCAGATATTGGGTGGAGATGATTTGAAAATTTAAAGCATGACGCATGGCCCACAAGGACTGCAAGACGTAATAGTAAGACAGGGGAAACAGTTTGCCAATGGTTAGGTAAGTAAGAGACACATGGCAATAAGTTCACGAATCCACATCCAAAGGAAATTAATGCAACAAAAGATAGAAAACCCAGATTTTAACATTTTCCTGAATATTTCCCTGCAGGATACTAACATTTCCATTCTGTTGCAATTATATGAATGCTATGGTCAGGTAAACGCCACAACGTTTAGCATCTTCTTACAGTTTAAATGGAGAGAAATTATCCTTTCGACACCCCATACTATGATGAAGCATCACATCAACAAAGAAATTGAAGAACTAACTAGACATATGAGTAGAAGCCTTACACATTTTAACAAACAATCCCATATCCCTACTGAGGAAACTCTTCCTTGATCTTCTTGATACCTTGTGATCATGGCAAATACAGAATTCATTAAAGTAATCAAAGAAGGGTTTGAATTAACATTACCTCATAATTAATGAAGACCAACCACTACATCCAGCTGAAATAAGTTGTTCTACGGTGGTATTCCGTAGTTTCTCAGGCTTCCTTGATAACAAAGCCAATGGCCATCCAGCAGCTCGAATTTTCATGTACAGTTCTACAAAGGACACACGTTTCAGATTTGTTGCCTCTTTACTACAATCTTTACATCCATACAGATTGAATCTGCGTGCAAAAGATACAGACAACTGTCTATTATATACAATAACTCGAAAAGAGAATGAAGCTATAGAACAAACTTTGAAAATTAGATATGAAATCCTTGACTAAAGCAGGATGCAGTATAATTTCTGAAAGAGTCAAGTGCCAGCATGCTGAGTCCATTCAAATTTGAGAGGGCTTAAGAAGCAAGAACGAAGTTTACAAGAAAGAACCTATTTTGACATGCAAACAAGACATGAAAACAAAACTTCTTTTTTGTTTCATGCAGATGGCAGGTAGATTGCTTAATAGAAACTCCTAGTTTCCTAAATGACCCAGAGTTATAATCAAGAAAAACGGCTTAATCCTGAGGAAATTACCTGGCCAACAGTCCATCATCAGTATAATAAAACTCTGAGAGAAATAAGTCATCTATGTCCATTAACACCACGTCTAGGCCATCATGTGATGGTTTTACAGTGCCTAAGTACCTCTCAGCAATCCCCACTGTGATATTCAAATCTCTCATGTATTGACCTTGTTTAATGTACTGTACAGCAACATCCTTGCAAATTGCAGGGAAAGAATCTATGTCCAAGCGATTGAGCTCCGCATGAAGAGCAAAAAGTTTGCAATAACTGTAATCATCACTAGATTTCCACACCTCGACAACACCGGCACTCCTACTTTCACAGGATTTTAGCATTACGAGCAATGTAATCAACAGAGTGATTAATGAAACCCCAACTGTCACCAGTGCAGCAATCAACATCATTGCAGCAAAAGATGGAATATAAATTCCCGATTCAAATGTAGAATGGCTTGCCATTTCTGCAGCAACTTAAAGAGTCACAAGATGGACAACTCATCAAAATAAAGCAAAGTACTTTTTAAGGTATTATACCCATCAAAGATAAAATATGATGTTTTCCAATAGATGACTCAGTAATATTGCAGAAGACATAATGAAAACAATAATGTACTGTGTTAGAATAATAATAAGTTTTCAAAACTTCTCATTAATTTTAAATTAACATTTTCAATTTTTTGAGTTTATTCCTTTGATTTAATTTTTCAGTTTTTGGGTACAAACATAAAGACCTATTTTTAATTCCCAGTCATTATTACCTTAATGGTTAGTTAAGGGTCTAGCTGTTACACATAAACATTTAAGATGGGTCATCAAATGATCTCTATATAAGCAAGCTTATAGAGGAGGTCTAAGGAAGAAAAAAAAATTAGGTTTTCATCTCTAAGTTCCGCTTAGTGCAAGAGTTTTTTCCTTCCGTCATATATGTTCTTATGTATTTTGGATTACCTTGAATTTTCGAACAACTTCGATTCGAGTTAAGTTTACCCTTTCCTTCCGGTGGGCGTGACCATTGAGGAGGTGTTGTTGCAAACGTTTGGATTTGATCTTAGAGTCGCTGGTGTCCGTTAGTACTTTCACGCGGGGAGAGTCAGCTGGTTTAGGACAATGTTCACACGACTTTCGGATTCGCAGGTCAGCTCTTTCTAATTTATAGTATCTATTTTATTCTATTCTAAATTAATTGATATTTTATATTTATTTGTGTATTCTTGTTAGTTTGTGATCTGAATATTATTTTGATAAATAAAATTATGTATAATTATGCTAATTTCCCCAACACTCCGTTCACATGATGTATGAATGGAGTTAAATAAGTTCTCATTATGGAATGTCAATCTAGTGACAATTCATCCCCAAAAAACATTAAAGGTGAAGATGGTAATGCATACCAGAACTTCCTCTGCTGGAAAGAGTCTGAGCGGAGTATTCCCGCTCAATTTGATGGCCATAGCCAGACATTGTAAGCAGTCTATCAGCCAAAAACACTTCAACAAGAACATCCCAAAGAATTTTCCAGATCACTTCCAAATGATATAAGGGTTGCCTGATACACACAAAAAAAAAAAAAAAATCTATATCAATCAATCCTCTTGCTATAGTCATGTCAGCAAGCAAAAGTACAACGTATAGCACATCATCTCCAAACAGCATTGCAAGCTTTACAAGAAGCTTCCTTACCATGCTATCAGCTACCAGCATCAGAACGCAACTTCTTTGCCTGCCAGCATCATATGAAGGAAAACAAGTCAACTCAAATAAACTTTTGATGACACTGTGATCTTAGTAAACTCACTCATTATAGAATCATAGTTCTTAAGAGGTACCCACTTAGGGCTCAAAATAATTCCTTATTTTATCAATCAATACTTCAGCTGCCAATTAATCATAATTGCGTGCATATGAGCCACAAACAATACTTCAGCCTTATTTTACTTTTTTTTATCAATCAGTACTTCAGCCTTTTTTTTATTGAATTAATATCAACCCTTTTTTATTGAATTATTAAACAGATTAGAACTGGGTCCGCTAATCTTCAACCGATCGAACACTTACAAATCATTCGACAACAAAGAAGTAGGCGATTTTATATGACAAGATCTCATAAATGCAAAAAGTTGTAGAAGTTCATAGCTTACTTCTCTCGCAACGATCATCAACTTGAACATAAGGTAGCCACAAACATCCAACAAAGTAGAAAACCCAAAATCTTAAATCGGCTCAACAACTTAAAGCTGCTACATCAAANACCTAAAAGAGCTAGGAGGCTGGACTCCTAATAGAAGGACTGAGCATCAATACGATGTAGTTGAATCAAGGAGCACTATAACGGGCCCATATTCTTCGGCCAATTATATTATTGGGGAATGCATCAAGTGCTTGGATGAGATAAAAGAAATAGACCAAGGAGGTGAAGGAGGTGACATCTGCTTATTTGCATTAGACATGTTCCTGAAGAATGAATACCGAGAAATTTTCCTCGATCTAAAAATGCCTAGAGTAAGGATTGCATGGTTGCAATGGCTGCAATCAGTTGGTCCAACTTTGTCTTTGCATTAAGACGGTGGTTGTGATCTGGACTACTACTTCCTTCTCTGTATAGCTAGGTATATTTGTTCTAATTTTTGAGTGGCTATTGGACTCTTATTCTTGAAATTAGAGAATTCTGTTCTTTAACTGTATTGCTAGAGGAAAATTACCATGTTGATTTGATTGCGTTGCTGTTATTATGAGTCCATGAACGGGTTTTTGACGCATGCATTCACCACATACAGCATACAGCCAGAGAAATCACTTCAGGTCATCAACCATCGCTGAAATTTTCTTTTTGCTATTGCCTGCTAGACCCTTGCATTTGATCAGGGCAATTTTTATTTCCCTTAGAATGAAGACTGCATGGGATAAGCCTAGTTAGAGTTTTTTTTTTTTTTTCGTCGAGATGCACATAAGCTGGTCTAAACACCCTGACTGTTGAACTTGGTTGGAGTTTAAGTATGCACTCTATGAGCAAGAATGTGGCTAAGGCAGACCAACAAAGAAGAGTCCTGCTCAGGGGGAAACATTTGGTGTAGTTAGCTTGGTTAGCACACAAAATGGTTTCAAATACGATTCTCGCCAAGAACTTCAGTAAACATTTTGCATTCAGAATTCAAATCCTTCAATCAAATGGGGTATAATGCACTATTCCCAGAGAAGCTGATATACATGGAAACACCCAAAAAAGAATCAATATACATGGACTAGAAATCAATGATCTCACCCTTTTACTATTGTAACTTACCTGATCTCGATATTTTGTCCCACAAAATCTATTGTGGGAGATTTCTGCTTTCCATAGGGTGCCCTGTGTTGTAATAAATCGGGTTTGGAAACTTGAAAATGCGCTTTCCTAGATATGGGCCTGTTAAAGCATCCATCTGGCTGCTAATCACAGCCGTGATATGGAAACCTTCACTTTGCATCACACCTCTTCTTCTGGTAAAATATTCACAACTATCCATTGGCATTTCATCGTCTGATCTGCAACAATGCGAGCCATTTTGAATGTGTAGAGGCCACAAGGTTAATGGTTCAAAGGAAACCACAGTGGTCACAAGATTCATAGCCAGGAAGCACTACAGTCTTAGATGTGAGGTATACATAATTTCTCCAATGAACCAAAACAAAGAGCTTCCCTAAATGACATTCTTTCTCAGATCAGCAAACAAAGTTCAAAACCATCTCAGCATTCAGATGATGATATGTCCATAAATAACAAGATCAACATTATGAGATTTTACACAATAATCAAAATGCACACATGATCAGCACATTTAATAATTACGTTATGAAGGGTTAGACAAGATATGCTCATAGAAGCTATTCCAGGAAACCAATTCCGGTGCAAACAAAATGTGGATAATGAATTTATTGATATTTGTGTGTTGGGGTGTGGGTATGCATCAGAGACATGCACTCATGTCCTGATAACAAAGAGGACAGACACTTGTGGGCTCAATGATCAGTACAAGAACATCCAAAAAGTCGAGCATAAACTATGCATGGCAATTGAAATGCTTTTGGACTGAGCTTTGGCAGCTGATTCAGTAGCCTAATTTTCTGAATTGATTTCAAATCAAGCCACAGTAGTAGGTTCAGATATTGGGTGGAGATGATTTGAAAATTTAAAGCATGACGCATGGCCCACAAGGACTGCAAGACGTAATAGTAAGACAGGGGAAACAGTTTGCCAATGGTTAGGTAAGTAAGAGACACATGGCAATAAGTTCACGAATCCACATCCAAAGGAAATTAATGCAACAAAAGATAGAAAACCCAGATTTTAACATTTTCCTGAATATTTCCCTGCAGGATACTAACATTTCCATTCTGTTGCAATTATATGAATGCTATGGTCAGGTAAACGCCACAACGTTTAGCATCTTCTTACAGTTTAAATGGAGAGAAATTATCCTTTCGACACCCCATACTATGATGAAGCATCACATCAACAAAGAAATTGAAGAACTAACTAGACATATGAGTAGAAGCCTTACACATTTTAACAAACAATCCCATATCCCTACTGAGGAAACTCTTCCTTGATCTTCTTGATACCTTGTGATCATGGCAAATACAGAATTCATTAAAGTAATCAAAGAAGGGTTTGAATTAACATTACCTCATAATTAATGAAGACCAACCACTACATCCAGCTGAAATAAGTTGTTCTACGGTGGTATTCCGTAGTTTCTCAGGCTTCCTTGATAACAAAGCCAATGGCCATCCAGCAGCTCGAATTTTCATGTACAGTTCTACAAAGGACACACGTTTCAGATTTGTTGCCTCTTTACTACAATCTTTACATCCATACAGATTGAATCTGCGTGCAAAAGATACAGACAACTGTCTATTATATACAATAACTCGAAAAGAGAATGAAGCTATAGAACAAACTTTGAAAATTAGATATGAAATCCTTGACTAAAGCAGGATGCAGTATAATTTCTGAAAGAGTCAAGTGCCAGCATGCTGAGTCCATTCAAATTTGAGAGGGCTTAAGAAGCAAGAACGAAGTTTACAAGAAAGAACCTATTTTGACATGCAAACAAGACATGAAAACAAAACTTCTTTTTTGTTTCATGCAGATGGCAGGTAGATTGCTTAATAGAAACTCCTAGTTTCCTAAATGACCCAGAGTTATAATCAAGAAAAACGGCTTAATCCTGAGGAAATTACCTGGCCAACAGTCCATCATCAGTATAATAAAACTCTGAGAGAAATAAGTCATCTATGTCCATTAACACCACGTCTAGGCCATCATGTGATGGTTTTACAGTGCCTAAGTACCTCTCAGCAATCCCCACTGTGATATTCAAATCTCTCATGTATTGACCTTGTTTAATGTACTGTACAGCAACATCCTTGCAAATTGCAGGGAAAGAATCTATGTCCAAGCGATTGAGCTCCGCATGAAGAGCAAAAAGTTTGCAATAACTGTAATCATCACTAGATTTCCACACCTCGACAACACCGGCACTCCTACTTTCACAGGATTTTAGCATTACGAGCAATGTAATCAACAGAGTGATTAATGAAACCCCAACTGTCACCAGTGCAGCAATCAACATCATTGCAGCAAAAGATGGAATATAAATTCCCGATTCAAATGTAGAATGGCTTGCCATTTCTGCAGCAACTTAAAGAGTCACAAGATGGACAACTCATCAAAATAAAGCAAAGTACTTTTTAAGGTATTATACCCATCAAAGATAAAATATGATGTTTTCCAATAGATGACTCAGTAATATTGCAGAAGACATAATGAAAACAATAATGTACTGTGTTAGAATAATAATAAGTTTTCAAAACTTCTCATTAATTTTAAATTAACATTTTCAATTTTTTGAGTTTATTCCTTTGATTTAATTTTTCAGTTTTTGGGTACAAACATAAAGACCTATTTTTAATTCCCAGTCATTATTACCTTAATGGTTAGTTAAGGGTCTAGCTGTTACACATAAACATTTAAGATGGGTCATCAAATGATCTCTATATAAGCAAGCTTATAGAGGAGGTCTAAGGAAGAAAAAAAAATTAGGTTTTCATCTCTAAGTTCCGCTTAGTGCAAGAGTTTTTTCCTTCCGTCATATATGTTCTTATGTATTTTGGATTACCTTGAATTTTCGGACAACTTCGATTCGAGTTAAGTTTACCCTTTCCTTCCGGTGGGCGTGACCATTGAGGAGGTGTTGTTGCAAACGTTTGGATTTGATCTTAGAGTCGCTGGTGTCCGTTAGTACTTTCACGCGGGGAGAGTCAGCTGGTTTAGGACAATGTTCACACGACTTTCGGATTCGCAGGTCAGCTCTTTCTAATTTATAGTATCTATTTTATTCTATTCTAAATTAATTGATATTTTATATTTATTTGTGTATTCTTGTTAGTTTGTGATCTGAATATTATTTTGATAAATAAAATTATGTATAATTATGCTAATTTCCCCAACACTCCGTTCACATGATGTATGAATGGAGTTAAATAAGTTCTCATTATGGAATGTCAATCTAGTGACAATTCATCCCCAAAAAACATTAAAGGTGAAGATGGTAATGCATACCAGAACTTCCTCTGCTGGAAAGAGTCTGAGCGGAGTATTCCCGCTCAATTTGATGGCCATAGCCAGACATTGTAAGCAGTCTATCAGCCAAAAACACTTCAACAAGAACATCCCAAAGAATTTTCCAGATCACTTCCAAATGATATAAGGGTTGCCTGATACACACAAAAAAAAAAAAAAAATCTATATCAATCAATCCTCTTGCTATAGTCATGTCAGCAAGCAAAAGTACAACGTATAGCACATCATCTCCAAACAGCATTGCAAGCTTTACAAGAAGCTTCCTTACCATGCTATCAGCTACCAGCATCAGAACGCAACTTCTTTGCCTGCCAGCATCATATGAAGGAAAACAAGTCAACTCAAATAAACTTTTGATGACACTGTGATCTTAGTAAACTCACTCATTATAGAATCATAGTTCTTAAGAGGTACCCACTTGGGGCTCAAAATAATTCCTTATTTTATCAATCAATACTTCAGCTGCCAATTAATCATAATTGCGTGCATATGAGCCACAAACAATACTTCAGCCTTATTTTACTTTTTTTTATCAATCAGTACTTCAGCCTTTTTTTTATTGAATTAATATCAACCCTTTTTTATTGAATTATTAAACAGATTAGAACTGGGTCCGCTAATCTTCAACCGATCGAACACTTACAAATCATTCGACAACAAAGAAGTAGGCGATTTTATATGACAAGATCTCATAAATGCAAAAAGTTGTAGAAGTTCATAGCTTACTTCTCTCGCAACGATCATCAACTTGAACATAAGGTAGCCACAAACATCCAACAAAGTAGAAAACCCAAAATCTTAAATCGGCTCAACAACTTAAAGCTGCTACATCAAATGAAGCAAAAACTCAAACTTAATGGCGTGTGTGAGGGTGTGTGTGTGTGTGTGTGTGAGAGAGAGAGAGAGAACTGACAGCTATGCTGAAGAAGATATGATTCTTTAAGGGGGACTAGGAATGGATATGATCTGCCACAAAAGAGGTTTCCGTATAGAAGTGTTCAAACTTTCACCATCGCTCTCTTTCTTAACTGATTCTCCATTAATCTTGAGGACTGTGAAGGATTTGGGCATACAAACAAGGGGCAATTGTGTCTTTAACTCCAAAGAGCACTCTTAAATATTCTCCTTTTTTCCTTCTATTATTTTTTGGGTGGGGTTCCTAAATTATTATTTTTTTGGTCCGATATTATTACACGAAAAGAACAACCAAATTCAAACTCCTATTAAGGTTTAATAAGGATAGCGGTACAAAATAAAGGATTGAGATCTCTTCCATTGNTTATTTATTTTTTACTTGCTTATTTATTTTAGCAGTAAATTATTTTTGGCTTATTTAGAAGTAATTAAAATAAGTTACTCAAAATACATTATTTTTTTTAAAGTGTTCGTGAAAAGCCGTAAGTCTTAAAATCACTTTTGAAAATCTCACCTCAAACATATCTTTAGGAGACCTATTTTTTCTATTGAATTTATGAAGTAAATATTAACTGTCGAATTAATTTTAAAATAGCATTCAAAACGATACTAACCACAAAAGTAAAAAATATTTTTTATGTTTTAAAATTTTATATTTTATTGTATTGATCATTTCACACAGGATTGTGTTACGAAAGAATCATTGGGATCAGACTAAGGAACAGTGGAGGGTCTGGCATAATCTAAGTAGAACTAGCAGTATGAAATGGGATCCAAACACTCATGAATTTGGTCCGAGTGAAGAAAACTGGGCCCACTATTTACAGGTATGCATAGTGAAACTGTAACGAATGTAATTGAAGTGGAAAATCATAGGAAGGTCGCCCTTGATTGCCAGCTTGCTAGCAGGATAATGGTTTTTTGTTACAAGGCAAACCCTGAAGCTGCACCATTTCGGTCAAAGGAACTCCTGTTCTTTAACAAACAGAATATCATCTATGCTGGAATAGTAGTTACCGGAGAAACAGAACTTCCTACAAGGCGTCGGAAGGATGATTATGGTTCGACCACCTCTCTCTTCCACCTAAAAGAGCTAGGAGGCTGGACTCCTAATAGAAGGACTGAGCATCAATACGATGTAGTTGAATCAAGGAGCACTATAACGGGCCCATATTCTTCGGCCAATTATATTATTGGGGAATGCATCAAGTGCTTGGATGAGATAAAAGAAATAGACCAAGGAGGTGAAGGAGGTGACATCTGCTTATTTGCATTAGACATGTTCCTGAAGAATGAATACCGAGAAATTTTCCTCGATCTAAAAATGCCTAGAGTAAGGATTGCATGGTTGCAATGGCTGCAATCAGTTGGTCCAACTTTGTCTTTGCATTAAGACGGTGGTTGTGATCTGGACTACTACTTCCTTCTCTGTATAGCTAGGTATATTTGTTCTAATTTTTGAGTGGCTATTGGACTCTTATTCTTGAAATTAGAGAATTCTGTTCTTTAACTGTATTGCTAGAGGAAAATTACCATGTTGATTTGATTGCGTTGCTGTTATTATGAGTCCATGAACGGGTTTTTGACGCATGCATTCACCACATACAGCATACAGCCAGAGAAATCACTTCAGGTTATCAACCATCGCTGAAATTTTCTTTTTGCTATTGCCTGCTAGACCCTTGCATTTGATCAGGGCAATTTTTATTTCACTCAGAATGAAGACTGCATGGGATAAGCCTAATTAGAGTTTTTTTTTTTTCGTCGAGATGCACATAAACTGGTCTAAACACCCTGACTGTTGAACTTGGTTGGAGTTTAAGTATGCACTCTATGAGCAAGAATGTGGCTAAGGCAGACCAACAAAGAAGAGTCCTGCTCAGGGGGAAACATTTGGTGTAGTTAGCTTGGTTAGCACACAAAATGGTTTCAAATACGATTCTCGCCAAGAACTTCAGTAAACATTTTGCATTCAGAATTCAAATCCTTCAATCAAATGGGGTATAATGCACTATTCCCAGAGAAGCTGATATACATGGAAACACCCAAAAAAGAATCAATATACATGGACTAGAAATCAATGATCTCACCCTTTTACTATTGTAACTTACCTGATCTCGATATTTTGTCCCACAAAATCTATTGTGGGAGATTTCTGCTTTCCATAGGGTGCCCTGTGTTGTAATAAATCGGGTTTGGAAACTTGAAAATGCGCTTTCCTAGATATGGGCCTGTTAAAGCATCCATCTGGCTGCTAATCACAGCCGTGATATGGAAACCTTCACTTTGCATCACACCTCTTCTTCTGGTAAAATATTCACAACTATCCATTGGCATTTCATCGTCTGATCTGCAACAATGCGAGCCATTTTGAATGTGTAGAGGCCACAAGGTTAATGGTTCAAAGGAAACCACAGTGGTCACAAGATTCATAGCCAGGAAGCACTACAGTCTTAGATGTGAGGTATACATAATTTCTCCAATGAACCAAAACAAAGAGCTTCCCTAAATGACATTCTTTCTCAGATCAGCAAACAAAGTTCAAAACCATCTCAGCATTCAGATGATGATATGTCCATAAATAACAAGATCAACATTATGAGATTTTACACAATAATCAAAATGCACACATGATCAGCACATTTAATAATTACGTTATGAAGGGTTAGACAAGATATGCTCATAGAAGCTATTCCAGGAAACCAATTCCGGTGCAAACAAAATGTGGATAATGAATTTATTGATATTTGTGTGTTGGGGTGTGGGTATGCATCAGAGACATGCACTCATGTCCTGATAACAAAGAGGACAGACACTTGTGGGCTCAATGATCAGTACAAGAACATCCAAAAAGTCGAGCATAAACTATGCATGGCAATTGAAATGCTTTTGGACTGAGCTTTGGCAGCTGATTCAGTAGCCTAATTTTCTGAATTGATTTCAAATCAAGCCACAGTAGTAGGTTCAGATATTGGGTGGAGATGATTTGAAAATTTAAAGCATGACGCATGGCCCACAAGGACTGCAAGACGTAATAGTAAGACAGGGGAAACAGTTTGCCAATGGTTAGGTAAGTAAGAGACACATGGCAATAAGTTCACGAATCCACATCCAAAGGAAATTAATGCAACAAAAGATAGAAAACCCAGATTTTAACATTTTCCTGAATATTTCCCTGCAGGATACTAACATTTCCATTCTGTTGCAATTATATGAATGCTATGGTCAGGTAAACGCCACAACGTTTAGCATCTTCTTACAGTTTAAATGGAGAGAAATTATCCTTTCGACACCCCATACTATGATGAAGCATCACATCAACAAAGAAATTGAAGAACTAACTAGACATATGAGTAGAAGCCTTACACATTTTAACAAACAATCCCATATCCCTACTGAGGAAACTCTTCCTTGATCTTCTTGATACCTTGTGATCATGGCAAATACAGAATTCATTAAAGTAATCAAAGAAGGGTTTGAATTAACATTACCTCATAATTAATGAAGACCAACCACTACATCCAGCTGAAATAAGTTGTTCTACGGTGGTATTCCGTAGTTTCTCAGGCTTCCTTGATAACAAAGCCAATGGCCATCCAGCAGCTCGAATTTTCATGTACAGTTCTACAAAGGACACACGTTTCAGATTTGTTGCCTCTTTACTACAATCTTTACATCCATACAGATTGAATCTGCGTGCAAAAGATACAGACAACTGTCTATTATATACAATAACTCGAAAAGAGAATGAAGCTATAGAACAAACTTTGAAAATTAGATATGAAATCCTTGACTAAAGCAGGATGCAGTATAATTTCTGAAAGAGTCAAGTGCCAGCATGCTGAGTCCATTCAAATTTGAGAGGGCTTAAGAAGCAAGAACGAAGTTTACAAGAAAGAACCTATTTTGACATGCAAACAAGACATGAAAACAAAACTTCTTTTTTGTTTCATGCAGATGGCAGGTAGATTGCTTAATAGAAACTCCTAGTTTCCTAAATGACCCAGAGTTATAATCAAGAAAAACGGCTTAATCCTGAGGAAATTACCTGGCCAACAGTCCATCATCAGTATAATAAAACTCTGAGAGAAATAAGTCATCTATGTCCATTAACACCACGTCTAGGCCATCATGTGATGGTTTTACAGTGCCTAAGTACCTCTCAGCAATCCCCACTGTGATATTCAAATCTCTCATGTATTGACCTTGTTTAATGTACTGTACAGCAACATCCTTGCAAATTGCAGGGAAAGAATCTATGTCCAAGCGATTGAGCTCCGCATGAAGAGCAAAAAGTTTGCAATAACTGTAATCATCACTAGATTTCCACACCTCGACAACACCGGCACTCCTACTTTCACAGGATTTTAGCATTACGAGCAATGTAATCAACAGAGTGATTAATGAAACCCCAACTGTCACCAGTGCAGCAATCAACATCATTGCAGCAAAAGATGGAATATAAATTCCCGATTCAAATGTAGAATGGCTTGCCATTTCTGCAGCAACTTAAAGAGTCACAAGATGGACAACTCATCAAAATAAAGCAAAGTACTTTTTAAGGTATTATACCCATCAAAGATAAAATATGATGTTTTCCAATAGATGACTCAGTAATATTGCAGAAGACATAATGAAAACAATAATGTACTGTGTTAGAATAATAATAAGTTTTCAAAACTTCTCATTAATTTTAAATTAACATTTTCAATTTTTTGAGTTTATTCCTTTGATTTAATTTTTCAGTTTTTGGGTACAAACATAAAGACCTATTTTTAATTCCCAGTCATTATTACCTTAATGGTTAGTTAAGGGTCTAGCTGTTACACATAAACATTTAAGATGGGTCATCAAATGATCTCTATATAAGCAAGCTTATAGAGGAGGTCTAAGGAAGAAAAAAAAATTAGGTTTTCATCTCTAAGTTCCGCTTAGTGCAAGAGTTTTTTCCTTCCGTCATATATGTTCTTATGTATTTTGGATTACCTTGAATTTTCGGACAACTTCGATTCGAGTTAAGTTTACCCTTTCCTTCCGGTGGGCGTGACCATTGAGGAGGTGTTGTTGCAAACGTTTGGATTTGATCTTAGAGTCGCTGGTGTCCGTTAGTACTTTCACGCGGGGAGAGTCAGCTGGTTTAGGACAATGTTCACACGACTTTCGGATTCGCAGGTCAGCTCTTTCTAATTTATAGTATCTATTTTATTCTATTCTAAATTAATTGATATTTTATATTTATTTGTGTATTCTTGTTAGTTTGTGATCTGAATATTATTTTGATAAATAAAATTATGTATAATTATGCTAATTTCCCCAACACTCCGTTCACATGATGTATGAATGGAGTTAAATAAGTTCTCATTATGGAATGTCAATCTAGTGACAATTCATCCCCAAAAAACATTAAAGGTGAAGATGGTAATGCATACCAGAACTTCCTCTGCTGGAAAGAGTCTGAGCGGAGTATTCCCGCTCAATTTGATGGCCATAGCCAGACATTGTAAGCAGTCTATCAGCCAAAAACACTTCAACAAGAACATCCCAAAGAATTTTCCAGATCACTTCCAAATGATATAAGGGTTGCCTGATACACACAAAAAAAAAAAAAAAATCTATATCAATCAATCCTCTTGCTATAGTCATGTCAGCAAGCAAAAGTACAACGTATAGCACATCATCTCCAAACAGCATTGCAAGCTTTACAAGAAGCTTCCTTACCATGCTATCAGCTACCAGCATCAGAACGCAACTTCTTTGCCTGCCAGCATCATATGAAGGAAAACAAGTCAACTCAAATAAACTTTTGATGACACTGTGATCTTAGTAAACTCACTCATTATAGAATCATAGTTCTTAAGAGGTACCCACTTGGGGCTCAAAATAATTCCTTATTTTATCAATCAATACTTCAGCTGCCAATTAATCATAATTGCGTGCATATGAGCCACAAACAATACTTCAGCCTTATTTTACTTTTTTTTATCAATCAGTACTTCAGCCTTTTTTTTATTGAATTAATATCAACCCTTTTTTATTGAATTATTAAACAGATTAGAACTGGGTCCGCTAATCTTCAACCGATCGAACACTTACAAATCATTCGACAACAAAGAAGTAGGCGATTTTATATGACAAGATCTCATAAATGCAAAAAGTTGTAGAAGTTCATAGCTTACTTCTCTCGCAACGATCATCAACTTGAACATAAGGTAGCCACAAACATCCAACAAAGTAGAAAACCCAAAATCTTAAATCGGCTCAACAACTTAAAGCTGCTACATCAAATGAAGCAAAAACTCAAACTTAATGGCGTGTGTGAGGGTGTGTGTGTGTGTGTGTGTGAGAGAGAGAGAGAGAACTGACAGCTATGCTGAAGAAGATATGATTCTTTAAGGGGGACTAGGAATGGATATGATCTGCCACAAAAGAGGTTTCCGTATAGAAGTGTTCAAACTTTCACCATCGCTCTCTTTCTTGACTGATTCTCCATTAATCTTGAGGACTGTGAAGGATTTGGGCATACAAACAAGGGGCAATTGTGTCTTTAACTCCAAAGAGCACTCTTAAATATTCTCCTTTTTTCCTTCTATTATTTTTTGGGTGGGGTTCCTAAATTATTATTTTTTTGGTCCGATATTATTACACGAAAAGAACAACCAAATTCAAACTCCTATTAAGGTTTAATAAGGATAGCGGTACAAAATAAAGGATTGAGATCTCTTCCATTGCCCTTTCCCTTTAATTTTCCTTAATATAGCGTTAGATGAGTGACACGTGTCAAATTTTAAATTTCAATTAATAAAAAAAAAATTTATGAAAAAATTTCTTAATAATAGTTAACACTTTACCAACAACAAAAGTGAATAAGGAAACATCTTATTCATTGAAACTCAAAATCTTACACATATCACTCATCTAGTAGTGTATTAAAAAAAATTGAAGGGAATGGGTAATAGAGAGAATCTAAATCCCAAAATAAAGGACACGACAATGCTAATTAAGGAGGAATAACTCTATGGCTAAAATCTCTCAAGATGTTTCTAATAAGAATTCTTGAACGTTTGAATTTCATGATGGCTAGAATTGTGTACTAGGTTATGTTTTTTGATTATGTACAAATTGATTTTTGTGCAAGATCAACAGTCAAGAATATGAATAGAAACAATCAATAATCAATAAACAACCAATTAATGGTAAAGCGGTAAATAATGGAACTAACACAGAGATTTATAGTGGTTTGGTTCGGATGACTTACTCCACTCTTGGGAACGGCAGCGGTGGACGAAGATCTTTATTGATAAATAATGTTGCCAAGAGAACACTCCGGGAGAAATACAATGCTTTGGGAGATCTTTATTGATGAATAATGTTGCCAGGAGAACACTGCGGGAGAAATACAATGCTTTGGGAGATCTTTATTGATGAATAATGTTGCCAAGAGAACACTTTGGGAGAAATACAACGGTTTGGGAGAGAGAGAAAAAGAGAGAGAGCAATGTGTGTAGGAAGATGTAGTATATGTAGGGATCTCAAGGTGATGAAGGTCTGTCTTCCATGTGCACNAGAACACTCCGGGAGAAATACAATGCTTTGGGAGATCTTTATTGATGAATAATGTTGACAGGAGAACACTGCGGGAGAAATACAATGCTTTGGGAGATCTTTATTGATGAATAATGTTGTCAGGAGAACACTTTGGGAGAAATACAACGGTTTGGGAGAGAGAGAAAAAGAGAGAGAGTAATGTGTGTAGGAAGATGTAGTATATGTAGGGATCTCAAGGTGATGAAGGTCTGCCTTCCATGTGCAGGAGACTTGCATTATATAGGTTCACTAAGGCGGTGAGGTGATGACGTGAGAAATGAGGTCTCTATTACTTTGGTAAGTTCCATTTTAGTAGGATTCAATCTCCATCCTGAGATTCTTTCCATCGTGCTCCTATTCACTCAGAGAGGGATACTAGACTGATCTTGATCTTGGACTTGACTCTGACCCTGGACTTGGAGTGGAGTGGACTTGGACTTGCATTGGAATGGAGAAGGGGGACAGGGAGGCAAGTCATGGGCGTTGGCTCTTGGTGCTTTGGGTGTTGACCTCTTAGACGTCCGCCTCTTGATGCCTTCTTGAATTTCTTCTTGACGGATCAGCCCAGCTTCTCTTGATCTCTATTTTGTGTCTTGAGTACTTGGGTTTCGTGATTTATTTTAATTGGGCTCAGTAAAATTCGGGTTCATCATTTGCCCCCCATGTCCCGAGCCTCTGACTTTTTCTAAGAGGAACGGGTCGAGGGCATGTGCTTTGTTTCATCTGGGTGAGTCGGAATTTTTCTTGTTTCCTACGGTATTTTTTCATCGGGACACGCTGAAAGTTTTGATATCGATATTTTTTTTTAACTTCTTTCTTCCTCTCTTCTTTTTTTTTTCTTTCTTCTTGGTGTTCCTGGGCGTGGGCCTCCTTTTCTTTTCTTTTTCCTTCTTGGCTTGGTTGGGCGCCGCCCCTTTTGACCTATTTTCTTTCTCTCTTTTTTTTTCTTTTCCTTTCTTGGTTGTCTTGGGCGCCTCTTTCTCTCTTTTTTTTTTTCCTTTCTTGGTTGTCCTGGGCACTGCCTATGGTCTCTCCCCTTTTTTTTTTTTGGTCTTTTCTTCCTGTCTTGGGCAGTCCTGGCGCCGCCTGACATCTGATCCTCCCCCTTTCTCTTTTTTTTTCTTTTCCTTGCTTTGGCATTGGTTTGGGCGCCGCCCTTATGCTTCACCTTTCTTTTTTTTTCTTGGTTGCTTGGTCTATGAATACAGATTACTATTGACCTCTGATCTCTCCCCCTTTCTCTTCTTTTTTTTTTCTTTCTTGCTTTGGCATTGGTCTGGGCACCGCCCTTCTGCTTCCCCTTTCTTTTTTTTACTTGGCTGCTTGGTTGTAAATACAGATCACTATTGACCTCTGATCTCCCCTCCTTTCTCTTTTTTTTTTTACTTTCTTTATCATTTTCTCATTTCTGGAGGTTTAACTCAAATACCTTTCCAAGCTTCTCTGAGAAGCTACTTAGTCTAGCTTCTTCAGCAAGCTGTTCAAGAAGTCACTTCTTCTTCTATTTAAGGGTTCCTTCAATTCTTTACTGTTCATTTCTTTCTTCCATTCCCTACTCCTGTTTCTCTTTTTCTTTCTCCTTTATTGTTCAAATCAAGACCATGGAGACAAAGGGGCTGAAGAGTTGCAGAGAAGAGGAGCCAAGAGAAGGTGGCGTCCAAGGGACTGCTGTGGGTGGCGCCCAAAGGGCTAGCCCAAGCGGTACCTAAGGGGTTGCCGTGGGTGATGGGGCACTGGGTCTTGGCGAGGAGCAGCGGGGTGACGTGACAAAGGTCCTTGTGGGTGGCGCCAGGGGCTTGGGTGACTCACTTTTGGGCTTTGGTTCTTGCGGTCCTTATCCCAGTGGTGGTTTTAGCGCGATCTCGACAGCTGGTGAGAGACCTTTTTGGGACTGTTAGCTCTGGATTAGGCACAGGCGAGAAGGCTCTGGACAATCCTTTTCATAAAGTGGGAGTGACCCGAGGTATCGGAGGGCAACAAAGAGGGTCATTAAGAGAGATTGGCGACGCCTCAGGTTCCCTAGTTGGTGACTCAGGCATGGTGCAGTCCACCCTTCGTGAGCACAGGAAGCGGTCGATCACCGATTTGGATGATATGAGCTCTCAAGGTATGTTCCCAGTATTCTTTTTACTTTTCTATTCACACCGTTACTTTCTTTAGCAATGGGCTAAACCTGTTTCTTGCAGGTATTCGTTCGGGCGAGAGGGAGACTGCTGGAGATCCCGATGGAGGCCTAGTTACTGACAGGGGCGACTATTCCAAGGTAGGCTCTATATTTTAGCTCATTTCAAAGTGATGAAGATATTACAGAGTTAGCTTCCTTGTACTGCATTCCACCTTCAGTATTATGTTTTCATGCGAAGACAGATGAGTCAGCTTGCAGTGATTCTCTAGATGAGATTGTTCTCTACGAAGGGATATTAGAGGCGGGCCTGAGATTCTCGATTCCCGGGCCCATATGCCTGGTCCTGGAACATTTGTCGTTAGTTCCTGGGAAGCTAGCTCCAAATGGTTGGAGAATATTATTGGCTTTTCTTTGCACTGTGGCAGTTGACACACAAAACTAGTGTTCCTCCGCCGTTTGAGGAGTTCTTGGCAACTTACACATTTTTGGAGAACTCCACTCCCCATCAGGGGTGGTATCGATTTTTTTCAAGGTCGAAAAAGTTTATCACCGGACTTACCTCTAATCTTTACAGGTGGAAAAAGAAATTCTTCTTTGTCGGAGGCGAGTGGGTTTCTAAGCCTGACCGTAGCTGGGTACCCACCAGATGGAATATTGTCCCAAAGACCAAGCAGGGTAAGGTCTTTATCTTTTATCATTTGCCTTGACCATCACGTACTTATTCCTATGGTGCGACTGTCTTCTTGCAGCCCCGTCGTCCCTCACCATTGAACAAGAGAGGTTACTCGAGATGGTCCGTAATAATCCAGCTAGGAAGCACTCCAATATTATGTCGTCAGCTGGTTATTCCATGGCTCCTTCGAGGCCGAAAAAGAAAGGTACTTGACTTTTTTCATAGTTCTTTTGGAAAAACTGTGCTGTAGGATTCATAGCTTACACTGATTTTTTTGGTCCTTCACTTGACAGGTCCATAGTGGAAGAGATATGTGCCTCCAAGACAGTTCCTTCTCCTCCTCCCCCCAAGAGGGCGAGGACTGATGCCCCCAATTTAGCTGGTCTTGCTGAGGCAAAGCTCGGAGGTGTTCCTTCTCTGACTGATATTCCCTCACCCCCAGGGGTGGTTTTAGTGTTGTGGAGGCCGAGGTTTCGGCGTCGCGTTCCACTGGGACGGAGGGTCCGTCTAGGTGTCCTTCTCAGGGTGACACTCGAGTGTCCATGCTACACGAAGTGAATTTGGCAAGGGAGAGATTCTGTGCCTTCGTGACCGGCGTCAAGGTCCAAGAGATTGCTTCTCGAGGTCTAGAGGGCGCGATTAACGCCACTGTAGAGGGCTTCGCCTTGGTACGTCTTACACTTCTGCTTTATATGTGACTTTCTTTGTCATTATTTGACTTAGTTCTTCACCTCCTTTTCATCTTTAAATGCCAATAGGTGGCTGCTGCCCTGCCCTATCTTTTCAACAATACCATGGAAATTGGGGATGCAGTCCATGGTCAGGCGATGAAGAGGCAGACACGTGAAGCTGCTGAAGAGCAGCTTAGACTTGAGCAGTAGGCGCGAGAGGACATCACAAAGCTAGCTCGATAAGTGCAAAAGGGTGTCGAGAAGCAGTTAGAGCTCGAGCGACAAACACGAGA